AATGAAAAACATGACTTGAATCCCAAGTTTCAAACTCGATTTTAACGAAGTACATTTATGTGGTGCATTTATATGTAACGTAAGGGTTCGTAATGTGGTTCTGAATCTCTGAACTATTAGAAACAGCAAGATGCAGGCGGACAACTTTCTTAGCAACACCTTTACTCTTCGCAATTTCACCAACACTTCCCGTGTACAGCCCTACTGACACTTCACCAGCCACTCAGAAGCCAGGAAATCCCAGAACACCTTTGTATATCAAACGACATATACATTTACCTCAACGCAAAGGTCAGAGACTGCACTAAAATACGTGTTCATTTGACCGGTGGAAAACACTTTTAGAAGAAACAGATATAATACAGTACAATGAGATATTTCTAGTGCTGCAGTTGGGTGGGAGGTGAATTTGTGGCATTACCTGCCTGGACATGCAAATGTTAAATATACTTCCTCGAGTGAGTCTTACCTCTTTCACGTCGGTCTTCTGGTCTGTGGAGACCATCTCGATTGTTTTGTGTTTTTTAACTTGAATGCCCAACCTGCTCGCCGTCACTACAGCAAAAACTCAAATGAATATAGTTTAAACTCCCCCAGAAACGAAGAACAGAGTTTTGGTTCCGCCTCGACGTAGGTTTAACGAGGACAGCGTGATGGCGTCACTTCCTTCTTAGGGTGCCGCTTGCTCACCCCGCCCACAGAAGTGATTATTGTGTCCGATGGAGCAACGCGGTTCGGTTAAACACCCTCACAGGCCCCCACATCTGGATTAATTGTGAGGACGGAGGAGAGAGACAGGCGTGGAGCGTGTCTCAGTGGATTCTGGTCCGATTTACATCGGCTCAGGAGCGGGTTTGACCCGGTTTCCAGTGGGCTTGGATCGCCGGGAAAAACAGAAAGAAGGGAAAGTTTGCTTCATCTTTGCTCTCATGGTGAGACGCTTCTTCGCCCTTTGCTTCTTTTCTTCGCACTTCACTGTTAGGATTCACTTTACATCTTCTCTGGAGTGTCCAGGTGTGCCCAACCTGTGCTCCGCGGACCGACCGGTGCGCTTTCTGTAGACTGCAGCTAATTGGCTGTCACACATTAAGGTGGGAGGGTAATGGGAAGTCTTAAAAAACTTAATTAGACAGCGAGTTAGTAATTTAATATACTACATGGGTACTAAACTACTGGGCAGCTATTTTTTCTTATTAAATTATTGTTGTAGTCATTTGCACAAAGCACTTGTTTTCAACTTTCTAATGTGCAAATCTGTCATATTCCTTTGTTATACAGATAGTAACATGAATATTTGGTTTTGGTTTTGGACTGCACCTGTTTGGGGCTGTTTGTTTTTTTTATCCCTGTATATGATATAAAAAATCATTAACAGAGAAAATAATCAACAGTCCAATTAATAATTACATGATTGTTACTTAGACCCTTCAGTGTAGTAAAGGAGTTATTTAATTTTCCTTGAAACTTGTCTTAAAGGGTATAAGAATGTCATTTTAAGACTGGAATGAAACTTGATGATGATATAAAAAATACTTTATTAGATAGAAGTAATTTGTAGCTTTTTAACCCTTGAACTTATTCTTGGCGACAGTAGTAAAGAAACTCCCTTTTAACAGGAAGAAATTTCCATCAGAACCAGGCTCAGGGAGGAGTAGCCAACTGCTGTGACTAGCTGTGGCATGAATAGAAGGAGAAGAGAGATGAAACACACTATGGTAGACAGAAGATGCAATTTAATGACACAGAGCAGTAGTATATAAACACCAGGGGAGTGAAAAAAAGTTTGTGGAAAAGAAATGGAGCTCTATCAGCAAGCTTGGCCTTTAGAAGGAGAACTAAAGAATGGTTGAGGGTGACCTGATCCAGTTCTAACTATAAGCTTTATCAAAAAAAAAAAAACAAGTTTTAAGACTAATTTTAAAAGTGGAGAGTGTGTCTGGCTCTTGACCCCAAACTGGGAAACTCCACGTGAGAGTTTCCTTTCATCAGTTCAAAGATCTCTTTGAGCGTTGGGATGGGAATGTTGTTAAGGTTGACTTCAGTCAGGCTGAAAGGACCACACAATTTTAGAAGAGGAGAAGACTCTGTTAATGGGCACTTACAGTACTTGCCAGATCAAACTGCTGCAGACTGAGGAGGAGCACATTTTATTCTTCTACAAAAATAAAACGATTTACATGTTAGGTATTGTGTAGTTTGTTGTACCCTTTGTTTTTTAATGGGCTCTAAAATATATTTACCTTCATGATCAGTAAAGTGAAATTAATCAAATGCTCTAAATAATTAGAAAAATGAATGAAATCTCTAAACTTGATGTTAAATACTTATTTTCTTCAATCTAATTTTTAATTAGTAAAATTAGTTGAAAATGATCAAGTTAACTTTTCGAGATATGACTTCATCACCATTACTACGAGTCAAAATCTTCCTCATGGTTTTGAAAATCTACCGATTATTCCATCAGTTGATTGAGTAATCAGATGAGAAATAATTTTGTCTTATTAGTGAGCAATAATGAGTAGCAAATGAATTTGAAATTGTATTATCATGACAACTTAAAGTGTCATCACTTTGCCAAGGTCTGGGAGGGCAGCCTGTTCTGTCTGTTACTCTCAGAATGCAGGAAATTGGTTTGGATGTTCAGGGACCAGCCCGGAAATACCAGGTCTCATGCCTGGCATGTACTGGAAACTGCTGGAACACCAGTGTCACTGTCCACAGTGAAGTGGGTTTAATGGAGGGCCAAACAATTCAAAAGCTTGACAAAACAAAACGCCACCCATCCAAGCAATCTGCGACAACCAGACAGTTGATTAGCACATGATGGCCAACTCGGTTGCCTATGAAGCACAGAATGAACTGAGGACTAGATTACACCGTGTCACGACGCCTCCATTTAGATTTCATGATTCATACCCTTTAACTTTAATCTCAGGCCACAAGTGAGTGGATATAATGTAGGATGATGGAAAAATAAATTCCCGATTTGTTTTCATCATCAAAACATTTCTATACATTTCGATATACAGTATGTGTAAAATATTATTAACAAGATAATATGTAATCTATTTGCATGGTAATGGGGAAATCCTTTTCCATCAGGAGCTTAAAAAAAGTTTGCATTGTTATCGCTGAACATAAGACTTGGTGCCGATAAGCACATTAAAGAAATCAATTCACATTAGGGGAAGCTGGAAGTAGATTTCTTTTACAGAGTTGGATGGTGGTTATTAACAAACAATACTTACACTGTAAGTGCTGCATGAGATGAATTTAACAGGAAGATTAGGAAGGAAATCATTTTCTCAGGATTTGATTATATCTCTGTTGGCAGAATTCAAAAATAATAATAAATTCATTTTACATTACTGTTACATTTCAACAAAATAATCTAATATATAAGATAATGAAATATCATCCATCCATCCATTTGCTTCTGCTTATCCTTTCCCGGGTCACGGGGCAATAAGATAATAAAAATAACACATAAAGAGGGCTCATTGTATTTTCTGTTGACTTCCAAAAGAGTAGCTGTCTACTTGAGCCTTCATGCATACTTTTGATCCTGTGTAGATTACAGAAGCTCCAAAATAAATGTCAATTTGTGCACCTAATTTTGTTTAAAGTAATTAAAGATGAATGCTGCATTATCATTCCATTACGCAAAAAGGACATTTCAAAGAAATCATCAAAAGCCACGAATTACATGACTTTCATGCCTATTATGAGCACATGAAATCTTCTGGTCACAACTTTACTTTTTCCTGTGAAAATCTATAAAGAAGGTGCAGAGTACATAGTTAGCAAAGTGTCCCCTAGAGACAAAATAACCACATCCATGGGAAACACTAGGTTGAAGTGAATAGGAATTATGGGTTGATCCATTAATTTTTTTACTGCTTATCCAGGTCAGGTCACGTTGATTAGAAGTACTGAAAAATGTGATGTCATAATAAATAAATCTAGGCTTTATCACTCCAAACAGATTTCCTTTATAATCTCATCTTTTGGATAGCATTAAAGGTGTTAAATTTATCTCTGTGTTACCTACAAAAGGTCAGAAAAAGTCTGTTTCTGCTCCTGCTTTCTGTTAGGTGCTAATCTGTGCGGTAATAATTAGAGGCTCCCAGACAGCAGTCAGTGCCTTTGTCTGTCAGTTATTATGCAGTCAGTACTGCCTGTTCAGACAGTAACCAACAGAAGCAGGCAGACCAGTCGGACTGCTCGGTGATCTTCAGGCTGAACACACCTTCAGCCATTGCTGTAGTTTAGAGCAGGGCTGTAACTTCTGCTGAGGACGTTCGTGTGTTGTGATCACACACAGGAGGTTCTGGTTTCAGTTTAGATTTCTGTGAGGGTAGCGCTTCACATCATGGGCTGAGCTTTGGCATTATTGCAGGTGATTTAGAATATTATTATATTATATTTGAATATTACATGTAGAATAATATGCTTTAAAATTGTTGTTATTAAGTTTAAAACTTTTTATTAGATGTTTGCATTTTAAAAAAGAAAAAATCAGCTGAAGTAAAGCTGTGTGGGATTTAACTGTGTTACTCCTTGGTGGCAGAGTGGTGTGGTGGTTACCACTGTTGCCTCACAGTAAAGCCTAGATTATTCTTCTGTTGATGTCTGCTTGAGTTCCTCACACAGTCCAAAGAAAGGCATGTTAGGAAAACTGGAGATTCTGATTGGAACATTCTGAATGTGGATGGCTGATACTTTGTTGGCCCATTAGTGACTTGTCCAGGGTGCCTCTGATCCTCTGACAGCAATAATATACTCCAGCTGCTCTGGGATGTGTGTTTGTACCTTACCACTTCAAAAACGGAGTAAATTTTAGTTTGATTTTGGCTACATTGAGATTTTCAAGCAGTGATTTACAACCAGTCAGACTTAGGACCACATTTTCTTATGTCTTTGGTTCACTGGATTATTTAATAGCTTTTACAAATCACATCACTCAGTGGAAAATAGCAAAGAATAGCCCTTTATTGTCGTTCTATATGTGCAGTGAAATTGTGGGTGCTCCACACCAACTGGCCAGGAATAATATATGAATAGTAAGACAGCAGGAATAAATAACAAACATGAAAAATATAGTGCATTGTCTACCAACTGGAAAGTTGGTGGTTCACTTCCTGGCTCTTCCAGTCTGCATGTTCAATCCTTGGCAAGATACTGAACCCCGAGTTACCCCCAGTGCATCCTTGTGTGTTAATGTTAGTCAGAGTGCTTAGATATCGATAAAAGTGCTTATATGAATATGTGTGTGAAGAGAGTGCAGTTAGTGCTCAGAGTAGAAAAACTCTGAAGGATTACTCTCTCAACTTTCTGTTTGGAGCTTGCATGTTTTTCTGTGGTAGGGTGGCTTCTCTCTGCCTTCCTCCCACTCTCCAAAGACATGCATGTGAAGTGAAATCGGGAGTCTAGATTGTGAATGTCAGTGTGCAGATGTCTGTCTCTGTGCGGTTGCCCTGGAACAGCTGGAATAAGCTCCAGTCTTCCCTTTTTATATTAATTAAAAAGTGGAAGAGGTTGGATGGATGGATGTTCTTGGGCTTCCTTCTTATAGAAACAACAAAGTCCCAGTTAATTGTGTTTTCTTCCTGCATAGCAGACATATTTTGATGGACACATATTTTCACTACAGGTAAATATCAAATTAGATTTCTCTTTAAAAGCATATCGACAATCTTCTTTGGCTTCAAAAGTAACAAATGGACCCAGATCATAATTAGCGGCTTAAACATTTACAGAAACATGTCTATGGCTTAGATAAGACAGTCAGTGTTGAGCCAGGCAAAATGATTAGTCAGTTTATCAATTAGTAGGTACCGGTAGTAAACTTGAAGTCTTCATGTTTAAATGATGTGTTTTATGACGTGTATAAGGTATAGAAGTTAAATGATTAATCAAGAAAATGATGGGCTGATTAAAAGCTGAGTTCTGGATCAGTACGGTTCTTACACTGTCCAGACACAACGTTAGAACACTGAGTCGGTTGGTCATAATGTTGGTGTACATTTGTATAATTAATATGAGTCACATGGAATTAAATGCCAGTTTTTAATCTGACTGAGCTGGTGGTGAGCATAAACCAAGAGTCCAAGTTTTACAAGAGATGGCACAAAATCTGCAGCCAGTTCTGTTTTTAAAGAGCAGATGATGAAACAGTTCCTCCTCCTCCCAAAACAAACATTTAACTTTGTGACTTCATGTCAGTAGCATGAAGTGGACTCTCCCTTTATAAACATGCAGTAGACTGTGATGACTTAAGTGCTGTAGGAGCTTCACACACAGGTCAGTTATCAGAGTTAATAGTAGAGCGGAAGCGAACATGTTCAGTGTGTGTCAAATGTGCGTCTCTATGTTTCCTTGTACTTGGTTTAATTTAATTTGCAGCCCTGCTGTGAGTTTAGAGTTACTTGGGTTTTCCATGCCAGACATGACTAAAGAGTTCTTTGCTGTTTAGATTTAAAAAATAAATATAAATGTGATTGTTTTTATTATTTATTATTTTTAAATTAAACAATCCACTTTGATGTTGTTTGATTCAACAAGTGTGAGCATGCTGAAACAGATATGTTGAATATTGTAAACCTCCTGGATACCAAAAACTGCTGTTCCTAATTATAAATAGGCTGCAACTAATGATTACTTTAGTAGTCGTCTAATCTGCTAATTTTCTTCGATTAGTCTATTAGTCAACGACTAGCCCTTATCTCTGCTTCCTGTGGGCAAACCGTGGCTCAGGGGGTTGGGAAGCGTATCTGTAACCGGAAGGTCGCCGGTTCGATCCCCGGGCTCTCTGTCCTGGTCGTTGTGTCCTTGGGCAAGACACTTTACCCTACCGCCTACTGGTGTTGGCCAGAGGGGCCGATGGCGCGATATGGCAGCCTCGCTTCTGTCAGTCTGCCCCAGGGCAGCTGTGGCTACAACCGTAGCTTGCCTCCACCAGTGTGTGAATGTGAGAGTGAATGAATAGTGGCATTGTAAAGCGCTTTGGGTGCCTTGAAAAGCGCTATATAAATCCAATCCATTATAAACCTCCTGTTCTAAGCTGCAGTACTTCGCTCGTTGCCACCACTCCTCCTGGCTGCCTGGCTTGAGCACAGACCCTAAGTCATCTCCCTCGTCCAGAAGCCGGGCATCTGCGTTTAACTCTGCCAGTTACTGCTACTGCTGCTGCTGCTACTACTGCCCCCAAAGCTGCATTTTGGCGCTCACATGCAGTCATGCCTCAGAGCTGCCCATCATCTTCCACCTTTTCAAGGCCGCGTCTACCTACGGTGCCCGTTGTTGGCATCTCAATGGTTTATCGCGTGGCAGTGTGTGGTGGCCGTAGCTTTTGCTGTCCAGAGGCCTGTGTGAAAGATATAACTCTGACCGGTTGGTATGGCTGATTATGCGTTTATATGTCTGTATGTTGTAACATGTGAAGCACTTTGTAACTGTTTGAAAAGTACTATGTAAATGAAGTTGCTATTATTATCAAGAGGCCCATGTCTCCTGGATTTATGAAGCACCTCACAAACCCACAGACATCGGATATCTGAACACACCATATCAACCTGTTCCTTTTGACGTGGAAAAGTAGTGGCTCTACTCTGAGCCCTGAATGATCAAACTCCTCAGCTTATATCTAACGGGGAGCCCAGACATCCTGGGAAGGAAGCTTATTTTCCAATTGTGACCATAGGTGAGGGTGGGGATGTAGATTGACTGGTAGCTTCACTTTCATACTCAGTTCTCTCTTTTGCCACTGTGGACCAGTAAAAAATCCACAGATAAGTGGTGCAGCATTTGCAAATTGGTTCTTTTTTGTTCTAGTCTTTGCAGCTGGGGGGCTAGTCATGTTCAGGTAGACACTCGACTCTGTGGTGCCCACCATGTTGAAGCGTTTGGACAGGATCCGGTTCAGGGGACGGCGGGATGAGTTCCTGGATCTGGCTGAGTCGCCCAACACATCCGACACAGAATGCAGCGAGGAGATTGTGATTAAACCTCGCGCCTCTGTCAGAGAGACAGAGGAGGTGAGGGAGGCAGAGGTGGAGCCGCAGGGTGATGCTCAGGTGCAGAAGCACACAGAGAAAATCAGTATTTTTACTTTTTCTAATGTTATGTTGCTTATTATGTTTTCTTCTGCTCTTTCTAAGGCTGGTCCAGGATCTTTTTCTGCAGCTCTGGATGACAGGACAGATTTAAATGAGGTTAAAGGTCACTTAGAAATTGCCTTGTTGGAGAAGCACTATTTGCGTGAGTATTCCGTGAATTTTATCTTCATATGTCAAGTTTTATTTTGAAAAATAACCAATGAACTTTAGCTCAGCAAGGTCAGATTTACGTAGACGAAGCAGACCAGGTGCCAGGTTTTTTGTCAGGTCTCTTTCTTCTCACTCAAATCAGTTAAAATTATTTTGTCAGAATCGCATTCAAACAAGTGTCATTCAAGTCTTTCATCCATAAGCTTTGTAGAAACTGATGAGTCGACATCACAGCTTCAGTTGTCAGTTCATTGTAAGCGTCAAACATCCCCCAGTACAGTCCCGATAGCGCTCTGTAATCAGTCAATATTTGGCCTTTTATGTAACACACACACAGAGCTATTAATAACCCTGCTGACCGCATTTGACACGCATGCAGAGAGATTTTGGTGAATAAGCCATTTGTGCCCGCATCCTCAAAAAATACTAATCGTATTAATAGGAATAAAATAAAGTTTGTCACCTACGTTGTCGTGCTCCAGTTTCACTATTATAAGTTTAGCACTTTTAACTTCCAGTGTTTGTCTGTTTCAGAGGAGGAGCTGAGAAAACTTAAAGAGGAGTCCAATGTGGATTCACTGAAACAGGAGTTAGAAAAGGAGCGCTGCAGACGCATCGAGCTGGAACAGAAAATCAACGATGCCCTGAGATCTAGGCTAGTTGTATATATATATTTTCAGATTTTCATATATAAAGGGAGCCCGTATATGCACTTTGAGTCCACTAAAGGTGATTTTAGTGTTTCATAATCAGTTTTTATCTTGTACTGCGTCCCTCACGTCTTCTTCTGTCTAAAACAAGCCATTGTAATATTTCCCATTTAAAACCAACTTTTAAGACATTTTCCCCTGATTGGATGTCAGTGTTTAAACATCACTTGGGTGGGGCTGCTGTCCTCACAGCCAGAGCTGTGATGAACATGTCAGATAGGTCTGGTCTTTTTGGTACAATACAAACCCACATGTAGAAGAAGAAAACGGTCTGAACCCTGAGCTTTCGGCTCATGTACCAAAAATCATTATTTGAAACATATTTCTATTTATAAAGTATGTAAAATTTGAGACTAATTCAATTTGCTGAGCTGGACTCAAAGCGGCTTGCTCCTATGCTTTATGCTGGACTGACACGACACAGTTTCTACCTCTTGCAGACTTGAAGACTCACCATCTCAGACACCTAAAGCTCCGTCTGCTCCTTCAGCTGCTGGCAGTGGTATGGCTGATCTGTGCTCTTTCACTTTTTGCAGATGTTCCATCTTTTCACCTTTGTTTGACGTGAAAAGAAACAGAATTAATTGAATGGTCCTTTAATTATTATCACAATTGCCTTGTTTCCCCCCTCAGACAAACAGAAGGAGACTCTGGTTGACACCTTATTGAAATGGCTTTATGATCGATTTGGTGTTTATATCGAAGACTTCCGCTTCCAACCAGAGGAGACGACAGTGGAGACGGAGGAACCACTGAGTGCCAAAAGGTCAGAAAACATTCTGAAACTGTCTGTGACAGACTTCTGTGTGTTAGCAGAACTGTAACGGTAGAAAACTGAAAACTGACATTGTTTGAACTGACATTTTTATTATATAGTAACTCAAAAAATTACATCTTTAAACACTCACACAGACACACACACACACACACTGCAGTGCTGAGCTTTTCAAGAACTTATCACCTAATCCACACAGTTTTTCCAGCCATGCAAACACATCTGAAGCATTTTATATTTGTAATTGTAAAACTGCAACCGTAACAATAAAGCTACTGAAAAGTATGAAAATCGGATCAGGTCTGCTGTGGAGTTATTATAACCACATAGGTTTTCACTGTGTTCTTTATCATGTTATCTTTTTTATAATCACAGGTTGACTGAAAACATGAGACGGCTCAGTAAGTTTGCTTGTTTTTTTTTTTACCAAATGTAATATGCAACATTGTTTGAAGACAGTGAGCTGCACTGCTGGGTATAGTGTGCAATAGTACTACAGTAACAGGTCATGTATTTGCTATAAACAGAAGCATGAGCAAGTGAAACAGTGAAGGGCCAAGAATAGATCGTTGTGGGATACGGTAAAATAGTTCATTAGACCATATGCAATAAGTAGACAATATTGTACGTCCCACAGAACATCACTGCGTTAAATATAAAAATTTAACTGAAGAGATTAGATTCAAGGGGTTAAAACTATTGCATTAACTGATTAGGCAGCAGTGTAGTCATTGTTAGAGTCATTTCATTTTCAGTAGCTCGAGGATAATGGAACATTTGCATAGATATACCCTGTTGTTATTTCATAACTATGTAAGAAGTTAAAACGTTTAAATTCAAGGGAATTCTCAAAATGTGCTCCACAGAGCAAATAAGGAAACAGAAGGGGACATTTAGTATGTGATAGTCATTAATGAGTTTGGGTTTGAGACAGACTGCATCTCCTTGTTAGCCACGCATCCCATTCACATCTCCTGGACATCAGATATACTAAACCCAAGCCAAATGCATAAACATTCAAATAAGTTTATGCATTTATAGAGCTGATGTTTTCTTTGTCATGATTAAGTCAGCTGATGTCAGTTTGTCTACTTTCCAGAACGAGGATTTAGACCCGTTACCAATTTCATGAGGAACCTTTCTGCCTTATCCAGCTGGTACTCCATCTATACATCAGCCATTGCCTTCATTGTGAGTTCACACACACACACACACAC